AATATTAAAAAAAAGGAAACTCGCAGTGTGATAGTTTCATTTTAAGTACCTATTACGGATTTGTAAGACCTAAAACGCACATATCCCTCTTTAAGGAGTTTTTGAAAATCACTAGTAAAGTAAAACGAAACGTTCACGGCTGTATTTTAACAAGTCCTTTGCAAAACTAAATGAACGCATAACCAAGTGTAAGCTTTTTTAAACCACAATCAGCTAGTTTAATATCGGTTTGTCGTACTGTAGCAATTCAATACATGAATAAGTGAACGCGTATAACAACTCGCGCATATTAATAAATAATTTTAAACCTCTCTCAAATCACGGCGTGGACTGAAATCATTTTACGAGTGTGGGAACTGGCGGTGCTATATACGTAGATATAACCTCGTATAGGCGGACCAGGGTAAACAAATTGGATGCTTAAAATTCAATTTGAAGGTTTCACGGTCCGCATCATTCGCCTCGCTCGTTACAAACTGTTCGCATGTCCAAAATGAACGCTGTAAGTTGGTTATTTTTAATACGCCACTTGGTTTAATTGACGTGGAATGTAATTTAAAAATTTTATAGGGGAAATTGTCTGGACTACTGGTAGACACTTATAGTGTGCCTAAACGGGTGTTGGATAATTATTTTTTAGTATACTCATCATTTAATTTTGAGTGCATCAATTTCGTATCATCTAAAAAGCATAGAGACACCAACTTATGCCATGGCACCTTTGAACTATATTGAAATAGATAATAAAAACATAATAGTTTTATAACCACTATTATAGTTCAGTTGGTCATAAATTACTTCATTTAATAAGCATATCGGTTCTGGATTCTAGATATGTATGTATTAGTTTGAAAAAATATCGCATAAAAAGAATGTCTCCATAAAGTGTGTCTTCTAGTTATTAGGATATTATTATTGTTATTTCAAACGTTAGTTGTGTTAATTTCATCCAAAAAGTGGGTAGAACCTTAAACACGTTAAATGCTCTAGATATTATTTCTTGTTAAAGTGGAAATTCAAAGGAGTTCTTAAATAAAGCCGGGATTGTGGTACACTTTTATGAAGTGAAATCTGAAATAAACTGCTAAGTAAAGTTTGCGCGGACTTTGTACGAATAAATTAAATGGAAATCGGTATACTAAAACAATCTACAGAAATTTAAGAGCGTTGTAAATCTGAATCGGCCAATTTTAAATGAATAATAAAATTTACTAAGTGACCACGATTTGAATTGGGAAATGTAAGATTTTATTTTTTATAACCGCGTATTCACATAGCCGCCGTTATTTTTTAGTTATAACATTAATTACAATAAATCACTTACTTTGCAACAACGAAATGCTAGTAAAATTCAATCTCGAATCACGTAACACCAAACGTGACATGGAGCACACATTTTTTACCATTTCACTGATAATTCTTCTTTGTAGGCAAGGAGTTGATATACGAGTACTCTATTTGCCTAATGCACGGCGGTTTTTAGATCTAAGACATGCTGATTTCCTAGCAATTATTTATAATATAATTAATTGTGCTGAATAAAAATCCGTTGGTACATATTCCATTATAGTGCGCTCTCAGTTCCATAATCTTATACTAGGATGGTCCGACACTAAGGCAGTATCACAAGAGCAGGCCCATGACCGACTTTACGCCCTCACCCGGAAGTGTTCAACCATTGACTTCCGAACTTAGCGCTTCCATTAAATTTTACCAAGAAAAATCAAAATTTACGTAACTTTTAACCTAATCTGAGGCAGGCAGTGTCGTTATTACTGTCTTAATAAAAATCATAGTTAATTTCAAAATTTTATTCAATACTATGTTTTACGCACTCCACATAACACCAGACTGTAACAAAATGCCATCACAGGTTATTTACATTCAATTAATATCAATTATCAACTGATCTTATTGTATCTAAATAATATTTATATAATCTATTCACTCAATTCACTAGAATTAATACATAGTCGACAAATTATCTAACGAAAATTAAAACTTTACAGAAATCATTAATATATATTTAATTAATAGTAACGATCAGCTTAAAATCAAATTTTTAAACTTCGATTTACATAACAAGTGTAAAAAGAAACGATACATGTTTTGGACAATAACACATACGCTATTTTATAATGAATTCCTATGACTTACATACACAAATTGATCTTATAAATAAATTTACAATCATACCCAAGTATTTGTCTGAGATAAAATTATAATAAGATACATATTTATGAAGATAAAAAGTAAACTACATTGTGTTCATTCATTTGCTCTCCAGCGCTGATTTGAAACGAATAAATTATTTTTTCGCCCATTTTCACCAAATAGATTTATTCAAATCTTATCGGAATATTACGTTTGTATACCACACTTGCTACAACAACGTTCAACTGTCAGCAAATGCACCTCCCATAAACGCTTTCAAGAGCAGTAATTGCATACCAAAATTATTAATGAATGTTCAAATTTAACACCTATGTGATTTGGCCTCGAATCAAATAATTTATCGAATCGTTGCAATGTAATAATAACTTGAGTGTAACTTTTTCGTGAAATGTTATAAAGTTGAGCTAAAAGTATCTCAACATTGATGCTACCGTAACTGATTTCAAAATTATCTGAACTGTTTCAAGGTATATCGCAAACGAAATAGGTACAATCATGAGCTGTTACTATCCACAAAAGTTCTACGTACATATGCTTAAGTTATTTGAACTAAAGCAAAGGCTCGGATTTAAGATTATATTGAATAAAATAAAGTTGGTCAAAAATTATCCCGACAATAGTCGAGAGCGAGAGAGAGAGAGAGAGAGAGATATTAACTTGCTCTGTAATTTCCAATAGCAATACCGACAGCGATCCCAATCCATTCCAAGTCCATCAATAGTGACTTTTATTTCATATTATTGCGTTTTATTTATTTTTTTGTTAAATTGAGGGAACCTCATCGAACTTGCATACAAAAACAGTAACGGTAAAAAGTTTAAATTGACCGATTATATGTACTTTTAATAAGATATTACAATGATTAAATGCGTATTGTTACATACACTACAACATTATTGTATGCTCAGCTTAAAGGGCATATATGTTATTTGTTTAAGAACTCTAAAATAAAGGTTTTAGATTTAGATCTAAAACCTTTATTTAAATTCTAAAATCATAAAACATTAACAATAAACAAGTGGTTCAATATTTAAATTACTAATATGCAATTCCTTTTAGGAAAATATCTAATTTATATAATATATATGGCAAATAATTGTTACTTAATATTACGACAGAACATTTTGTCACAATATGGATACTTTACTTATTATTAAATCATTCAATTTAGATTTTTAAATACTTAATGCTCATCAATTCCTGCAAAGATAATTTATGGACGAACACTAAGCAAATTAAATATCTATAAGCCGTTTATTTTCCAACAATTTAAAGATAAACTTTTTTATCGAAGTACAGGGGCAAAATGGGGACCTGTCATTTCCTAATTTATATTATGAAAAGAATCAAATATTAGATAGTACGGAAACAATATTGTAAATACGAATAATTATAAGTTAATTTGATTGGATCAAATTAATTTTGTTTCAGTTTAAACATGTACAACTATGTATATTTTTTTGTTGCAGCGGGATTTTAGCATTTTCAGCGCTTTAAAAGTAAGTGAGATATGCGTAAAATACTAAATAAATGTAAATTCTTCTGCTTCTTAGACAAATTAAGAAATAAGGAGGTGATTCAGTAATAAATAAAATTCAAACGGATATCTTAAAGGATATGATTGTTGAGCTGGGCAATAAAAATCACAATATATATATTTTATAAATATAGCTGAAACTTTTATAAGTAATAAATTACTTCTAAGGAGTATGAATCGTATTTCACAAATTCATTCAATTGATGGAAACTGAAATTTTACCCTGTTCACCTCAAAATATTAAATAGCAATTTGATATTGCTCGTCCATAAAGTATCAAGTATTTAGTTTATACGTTTACTTATCAAAAACTACACACTTTTTAGGTATATCATACTTAAATTAAATTTACAAAAAATCACAACATACGCATTGTTCTTAAAAATTACTACAACTTTGAAACACTTTGATATTATTATATACACCTACTTTGGCAAGTTAGTCTTAGTACACTTCTAATATTATTGTAATATTCACACTTCATGTAAAAACAGAATACTCAAATTGTAACAAATGTGCCGCAGTCTGTTTTATAGTAACCTATGTATTTTCATAGCTAAGTGGTTTATAAGCCGGTAATATGGACCCCGGTAAAATTTACTATCTTCAATTTTCAATTCTATTATTGTTTTTCTCATTCAAGTTTTAGAATAATATGATCATCAAAGTTATCCTAATTCTTTTAAATTACTTTAGTTAGGGCGCTCATAATTTAAAATTTAAGTAACAAATACCAGTGTTATTTCTGTGTTTACTTTAATATAAAAAAAAACTTCCTATCTATCGGTTAAGGGAGCGTTCAAGTATTACGTAACGAATTTTGGGAGGGGGGGGGTCCTTTTGTAAAACGTTACGATGCGGGGCGGGGATTGAATGACGCGTTATTGTTAATATTATTTTCTACTTACACCACATAATAGTAACTAAAGAGTCACTAGGTGGCCACGAAACGTTTTACTAAACTTGGACACAGTACTGTACTTGGGTACTGAAAAACGTTACGGCGAGTTTATGGGGGGGGGGGGTCAATAATCTCCAAAAATTGCGTTACGTAATACTTTAACGCTCCCTAAGCTGGGTATGTTACCCAACTTTATTTTTTGATTTGTATGCATCATATTAGTAAACAGTGCGAACAACAATTCACATACATATTTACAAACATTAAGATTTGTTTCCATTTACATTATATACATTTATTAAGTATAACGTTCATTTAACGTTTTTCACTTTATAATTCAGTCCTTTCATTAACAACCACTACCGCAGTGTCTAATTTCTCTAAATCTCATACTGATATCTCTTGTATTTGAACTCTTTTTTTCATAATACCAGGTGGCGCTGGTGTTGTTGGTGCAGGTGGAACTCTTAAAATACCTGAACCAGTTGCACCTTCAGAATCCCCATTAGAATCGGAGAGGACTTCTTGGCCATCACATAAAGGGCCAAACTTCACTTGGGTCGAACTATCAACCACTCGAGGCTCGAAGGTACTGGTCCTGCTTACAGCTTCTTGAATGCGTGCTTCTATTCTTTGTATATCTGGTTTTTGTGTATCTATACACACAACATTACCAGCGTCAATGGCACTACCAACACTCACATCCGGCAACGACCTTCTCGCGGCCAGATGTTTTTCATCGTAACAACTATATTCACCGAAAGTTGGTTCACCACAGTCTGACAAAGTTCGTAAATCAAACTTGGAACCTGACCCACGCGGCACATGAGCCGACTTACACTCAAAGCCAAACCCTTTCCCCTCAAAGGCTCTTACTTCATAATCGATTTTTCCGTCATAATTATCAGACGATGAAGAACTTCCTGCCTCAGTAAGATCATCTTTGGATCGTCGAGGTCGTGTCCCCCTTTGATGATAAATTCCAGCAAAAATCAGTACGTTAAGTAGTAATAAAAAGCATCCAACGGCAATTGTAACAGTGAGAGCAGCTGTATACGACTGGTAATGCGAGGAGGCAAGTCTTCGTAGAAGTGCGTCATCAGTTTGTATGGGAGTGACTGTAGCGTTTGGTGGACATTCAGTTGAAACTGGAGGGGCGGGAGATGGTTTTGGTGATGCAGAACGACTCGAAGGCGTAGTTTTATCGCCACCACGTCCAATATTTACAACGTGTGGGACGTGAGCTCTGGACATCGATTGCTCTCTGACTGCACCTATTGAAAATAGTATTTTTGAATGTACATTGTTAACTAGTTTAATACTTATGTATAATAAGATATTGTTACCTTCATAATAATTTTGGTCATCTTGAAAGTGATGGTGCCTCATGGCAGCGTCAGGCAAATCGGAACCAGGTCGGTGCAGTTGTGGGATCAGTGATAACCATAACGACATTTTATGACCACGATAATGACTTCGCATACCAGGCTTAGTACCTGATTAAAAACAAAATTACCGATACAAAGGAATTAAAATCCAATTAAAAATATTTTTTCTGGGGTGAATTATGAAGGAAACAGCAATTATTTCAACATTATTAGTTTACATAATTATCAAAATTAAGATTTATCGATTTAACTATTTGTTTTTTTTATAAGTTAAATTTAAAAAAATATTTTTAATTATATAAAAAAATTTAAAACTTTATTTTAAAAAGTATTTCAAAGTAATAATAACTTACTCATCTCCATATAGAGTTGGTTAATTGTATCGTAGGTGTCCCAGTAGGGAATATCATCAGGGCTTACTACGACAGGTTCACCTAGCATTGGGCTCGGTGGCGGAGTCGCTGAGGGATCATTTGGGTTCCTAAAATATTATTTGTAAAATGAATTTAATAATGTTGGTTAGGTTTTTAAAAATTGGACAAAGGATCATTCTTCTGCACCCAAAGCCCTAAAATCATTGTTTGACCGGGAATCGAACGAGCCTTCGCGGGGACTAATCGGTATCGTAATCATAGCAATAAAAATTATACATTACTCACCCATAACGAACAAAATTAGCCACATAATGCATACATAATTTCGACACACGTTGTTCTTGTAATGTAAAGTTCAAGTGATGGTAGGCCTGAGATAATGGCATTCCAAGGTAGAAAGGTAGCTCCTCGCCGTGCACCGATCCTGGTCGCTAATTGGATACATTAAGTGGCAATTAGAATAATTAATTGGTTCTCACGTGTCTATAGGCGATGTAGGTTTATCCAAATTATTCAATTTCTCTTTATTATACTAATAAAATAACATGTTCTTTGAAATTAGGCTTCTCTATTAATGTCAAGACATTGCGTCAAAAATTATACAGGCAAGTGGTTAATCATCTAACGTCTAGACCATCGAACCATGTACTAATTATATCTAATCTAATACGTATATAAAATTCTCGTGTCACAATGTTCGCTCCCATACTCCTCCGAAACGGCTCGACCGATTCTTATAATTTTTTTATGCATATTCAGAAAGTCTGAGAATCGGCTACTATCTATCTTTCAAACTCCTAAGTGATAAGGGTCGTCCACCCCAAAATGTTATTTTTTATTTTTAAGACAATTTTTTTGTTTTTATTTTTTTATGCTGCAGCATACAAAAATACATAAACCCCTAATTTTCCCCCCTCTACAATCAACCCCTATTTTTATTATTGTAGATAGTTATTTTTATTGAACTATAAAAATGTTTCCTAGAAATAATATACTAGTAATATATAAAGACCGTGACCACTTCTATTAAAGTAACTAAATTAAAAATTCTACTTTACGTACTATATACCTTGGCCACAATTGTGTCAACTTAGTTTATTTTTATTAATCATTATTTTTTTACGCAAGCTATATTTTTTTTTAATTATTAACTTTTTAAATCATTTTTTTATCTATTTAATTATTTATTTATAGCCCTATATTAGAAATACAAAATATATACATTATAACTATTGTTTTTCTTAATCTACGATAACCGATTCTGTGTGACTACGGGCAAAGGCCTCCCCCATTGGCTTCCATTTTTCCTCATTGTATACCAATCTCGTCCAGGTCTTGTCTTTTCAGCCATTTCCATGATTTAATCGGCCCACCTTTTAGATTGCTTCCTCTTTTATGGCCTCTTGGTTGCCATAGTGTTACAAATTTAAATCATTTACACTTCCTTAAATTGTTCCACTAATTATACATACCTGGGGATAGTCCTTGTCAGGGGAAAGGTAGTGAAAATGTGTGAAATAAGTTGAACCGCGGCGTAAAGCGTGGAGGTATCCCAATCTTATTAACGGCGCTGCGGTGCGGCCATCGCTAAGTATCTGGTGAAAAATTCAATTTCCATCATTTCACATATTTAAGTATGAATTTCCGTTTTTACATAACCAGTAGGGCGGTTTTCTTAATTAACGACGCAATATTGTTCGGTGGGAATGGCCTTTTTAGTATCTTGTTGGTAGAACTGTTTTAAGACTAAGTAGGTATACTCTTGTATTTAGAACTTTAAGAGAATACCAAATTTGACGTTTACAGAAATCTTACGTATACGTGACTCGCTTAAAATTAGTTGTTAAGTATCATTAACGTGTTGTCATGGTAACTAAAGGTACCGTTGTATTACTTTTATTAATGTATTAAATTGTTACTGTGTGTAAATAAAAATACACTATTTTTAAATACGTAATAAAGAATCAATATAAAGGATACTTTTTTGTTTTCTTGATTACTACTGTTGATTACATTAGCATTAGCTATGAAACGGTCGGTACTTATAATCGTTCTATCCAAAAACTAAGGAATATTAAAGTAAAAATCAATTTGAATTCAAATAAATGTGATAAAACATTCTAATACCATTTGAGGTTCATGAATAAGACGGTAAGGCAATCTATATTGTGTACATAGAACTAGGACGTTGCTTTCTCCAACTTCATATTCGGCTTACGATTTGCTACTAGTATTAGCTAGTATTGATTTATATCATATCTGTATAAATTTAAAATGGAGGCTTTAAATCTTGTTAAATAATAAGTCCAAGCGCGAACGCTGAATATTTGGTATGTCTACAATTTAATAAGTGAGTACATTACTATTATTACATTTAAATAAATCTACTTTAACTATTATAATTGACAAATTTATTACATTATTTACATAGCTTCACGAGTGAATTGATTGCTTTTCAGCTATATATGGCGAACGCGATAAACCATATCAAGTTGACACATAATTTGTTATTTGCAATACTCCGCTGGATTTGAAAAATAAAATTTACGTAATTTAAGTTTACAGCAGTTTCCGTCATCTTAAAATGTAATTTTTTATTTTTTTATCATTTTTATATGAATGTGTGTGTATATTAATATAGACATTAGTTTTCTGACTTGTCTTAAGTAATGTCCCTCAGCCACTCAGCTACGCTTCGTTTACTTACTTTCTTATTGTGTATATGTATGTTTAGTTCAGTTTTAGTTAATATTGATTGCTCATTATTTATTTTTTATTTCCCTATTTTCTATTATTACTTTTAATACAAACTTATTAATACAAAATTAAACTAAAAACGTAATACATACATTACATAGAAACAAAACATGAAAACCTAAACCTTTTTATTGCAAACCATAAAAAAGATATGAATAATGCGATTCTTGTGAAGTTCAGACAGTGTGCAATTAAATAGATCAGTCGAACATGCAATAGTATTGAAGGTGAGCAAGCCGCGCGTAAATGGTGCTTCCCTTAGAAAATTTGCTCCCGCTCGCACCAGCACTGCTAGCAATTGCGACCGCCTACAACATCGTGTGTGATAATTTGGCACTCGCAGCAGTCTCTCTAACATTTCTGCATTATATACCCTACCTATAAGAAACTTAAACAACATAGTGCGATAGCAAGGTCCCTCTTTACGCCTAACTGGTCGTATCCTACGATACCCAAGACAAACAAAGTTGGATACATAACCGGGTAAAATGGATACACTCCATATAACCTCATATCTAGTTAATTTATTTTGAATTCGCTCTATCAAGAGTATTTCTTTTCTTGTGGGACCCAAATCATAGAGTTACTTTCCAAATAGGTTCTAATAAGTGCCATTACCGCTTTATATTTGAGAATCCTTTGACCATATGCAAAATAAACCTTAATATATATTATTGTTTCAGTAATGCGTTATTTTTTATTCATTTGACAGTACTTAGTTATGTATGAAAGAAGGCCTGAAGTAGCGCAGACTTTTCTTTTGAAGAAAATATCTCTCTTAACGGCTGAAGCCACATTAAGCTCGCAACAAATGCTGCTATTTCATTGCAGCAACGATTTTACAACTCAACTAACTCAATGGATTTTAAATTATTACTTAAAGAAATTGGATGTTCTTTCCAGTAACATTTTTATAAATAAGCTTAAGTGTGTTCGAAGGTGAAGAAAATGCAATTTATTTTAGTGTCCTATTAAAGTATTTTTATTATGTTGGTTAAGTTCTATAAATAAATATTAGTAAAATTTTGCTCACAAAAAAATACATATTAAAACAGATTATACTATATAATGTTCCGACTGTAAAATTCTTCACTTCATGATGTGTGACATTGCATGTGATAGTTGTATATTGTTAGAATATGTATTTTGGAACGCAACCAATTTTTAGTACCAAATAATATTATTTCCTTTCATTTTTGCACAAAACGTTGTACTTATTAAACGCAGAATAAATAATATTAATTAATTATTCCTTTTATTACACCATCCACGTACATTCTAAATGGACAGTTAACACATCATGACAAAAGCAAGATCCAATAATATTGAACGTTTAACCATATCAACAATTGGACATAATCACTACAGGATAAGACAAATTGTCGATCGTCATTTATTTGATTATTCACCACTAGAGGCACTGCTTTAGTTTTATATTGGAATTTAAGTCAGTAACTAAATATACTCGACACAAATTAATACATCTAATTAAATACTTTTTAAAGAGACAAAAGTATTGTTTATTTAATAACAATCTTAGTGTTTCTAGTTGTACATAAAAGAGGTTTTAATAAAACATTACAAGAGAACACGATATCATTAACTTCCATTATAATGAAGACTCCCCGCAGTGCTGACATTTTCTTGAGCTTAAAATTTAAAAATGTTCACATGTTCTTTGTCCTTTGTTCTACTTAATTAAAATAATAACTGTGTAATTTCTATTGCAATAATTATTTCTTAACATTTGTATGTAAATCACTTTACATTTTCTTATAATAAAAATTATATATAACAAGTACGTATGTTTACATTAGACTGTATCTTGATCTGTATCCTTTGGAAATTCAATGCTTCTGCTAGCCCATCTCATTTAAAATTCGTTCTTAGAGATTTCGCAAAACAGCAGCAAAATTGTGTAGAGGGTTACATTGCGTAAAATCTAAACAAACTGTCACCACATACGAGTATATACATTCACGCATAATTAAGTTGTTATACTCTTGTTAGATTTGATGTAACACTAAACTTACTCTTTCTCAAAAAAAAAAGGTTTAAACATTCACTATGTACCACAATATATTTGAAATTTGGGGTAAGCTAGTTCCTACGTTACGAATGTTACATCAATTTTGTCACAACCATATTTCTTACCTTCTATTCTTCTACAAAGCTATAGGTACTCATCAAGTAGCTTTAATGATAATTACCAATAAAAATAACGCTCGGTTGGTATTAATAAATAAAAATGTTAGACACTTTCTAATGCAAATAAAAAATGAAGGCTCAAACGCTTTATTAATCATTCTAACTACGACCGCAAAAGCGTTCCCTTACCCACATCGTTTTGAAGGGTCTGAAATAAATACATTAAGCCGAATGCCGACAATCTCTTATTTTGGCTTGATTAAAATTCAACATTAATACATAAACAAGAAAAGCTTTTGTAGCTTAGTTCGAGATGGATTTAGATAATTTATTAATGCTTACTGCTAGCCGGATGATTAAAGTAAAATTTTGATATTGTAAACTTTGACTAAATACATGTTTTTGGTACACACTCAAAAAATTATGTTTGTTGAACTGTAAGTTTATTTGCGTATGTATTGCTTTTGATGAATTTCTTAATTATGTAACGTATCTTGTAATGTAGCTGCAATCTTTGACGACTCATTGGTCTAGTGGTTAGTACCCCTGACTGCGAATCCATGGGGTTTTTTTTATCTTGATCCCAAAAACTTCGCGACTAAAAAGTGTAGCGTAGAATTTGTAGCGGGTTCTCATATGTTCTACGATCTTTATTTGAAAACTGGTTGTAAATTATATATTTTTTATTGATATTCATAAGTGTAGTGACCTATAAATGAATGATTCAATTCGAGTTTTTCTATTGAATAAACCGGCGTGTGATATATTAAACTTCGGATCTTGGAGGTAAGATGGTATCATTTGAGTATCCAGGAAATAATTATACATTACATGACTATACAGTATACGTATATCTCCTAAGTTATAAAAACTGAATTAGTTAGTTAGTTATATAGTAGTTTGGTCTAGAGCTGTGTTTCTCAACGTTGGGCCCACGCCCCTTATTTTGATTGTTCAGGGGGGCAATTTATTAATTTAGAATTTGAATTACAGTTTTCCAGTTGTATATATATATAGTTATTATAGTTATAGTTAACAATTTAGTTACGAATTCATTTTTTTTTATATTAAAAATTATGTAACATAGGCACAAAAAAGGATCGGAAACACTGGACTAGAGTCACAGGGATGTCCCCAGTGTGTGAATTAGCAACTATTTATATAGCAACATTATGTTTTGAATGAATGTTTAATAATAATTGGATGGATTGCCAATAATCAAAATTCATAGTAGAACTCAAAACCCACCATCAATTTTGCTAAAATTCAAAAGTGATTTTAATCAATTTTTTATTTACACTTCAATGAATCCAAATTAAATTGTTGTTATATTATATTTTTAAGGATATTAACGTGATATGTATCCCTCATAAGTTATATAGCTTTAAATTAATATTTTAATCGTTTTATGAATGTCTACGAGCGGTTACAAATTTATAATAACTTAACACGAATCATTTTGATCTCAATTTGGAATTACGTTTTCGATCTTCGCCCCACATATTATTCTTATTTCCCTGCGGGAAACATCAGTACCTACTCATTACTTTATGAAAATGATATTAATTTCTTATATGAAAATTAAGACTTTACACATTTTTAAAAAAATTTTTTTGTTTCGATCCATTTTCGATCTGTTTTCTGAGAAATTTTCGACAGATGTCAAAATCAAAACAAACATAGATGTAACAACAGTTTAAGCAAAAAAATAAAGTCCCTTACCTCTAGAGTAGCGTCGCGCACACTCAGCGGATTCTGCACGGGTTTATCCCAGTCAGTATATTCGTTTTTGAGAGTTGAATATATCTCGTTGAGATGGTAGTAATAAGCGTTTCGGACGAATGTACGCAGAATGCGGTCGCGGCGGCTCTCATTGAAGCCAAACTCCAAGTCTTGAGCATTGAATTCCAAGTAAGACTCTGCAAGTAATGGCATGTCATTCATTTGCATAAATTTATGAGTCGACGCTTTGGCATTCACGTCTATTTAATTAAAAAGAGAGAATTCGTCCATTTCATAGAATATTTAATTTTACGTTTTATTTTAAGCATTTGAAGTTCGTTAAGTGTAGTAGCTTGATAGAAAAATTACGATATAAAAAATTACGATAGCGAGTTCCTATATCTTCAATATTTAACAAAATTTTGATGGTCTCATCATTTTCATTTATTTATAAGGGATTATAAGGGAAATGTTCAGCTTTCTTCATATATAAAAAAATAACCATTTCTAATCCCTAAATCAGATGAGAATGGGTTTGAAGATTTCAGTTTCAATTGACTTTTTCAAATAGTTTCATACATCTAACCTTTAACGACCACATACCCGTAGTAGTGAGTCCAAAAAGCAGTTCTCTCTGCGGGAAGTCGGCTAATTCATGACCGGCAGCGCTAGCCACAGCTGCCGCGCCGGCTCCTAACCGCGAACTATCCGTGGGAGGGGGCGCCTGGTTGCAAATCATTTATATACATTTTTTTATACTAATTATTTTACAAGTAAACATCATTCAAAAAAGTACACTAAAGACATGTTACTTATGGTAATTACTTTCCCTGGATTTCCATATCCATAATACCAATTGTTATTGCTTCAAGTAGTAAACTTTTCTAGAGAAAACCAGACGACTATTAATAGCGTTATTTCTACTTATAAACATCTACGACTCGTAGCAATTACGACTGATACTTCGTTAAAACCGAGCGTTAGTCATCCGTTTTACCAGCTTACCGATTGTTACGTTTAGTAAAGATACGTGATGACGTAATATATAAAAGTAAAAAGAATATTTCTTATTATTTATGTATTAATAAATATTATGTACGATAGTGTATAGTGTCGTTTTTACAACAAACTCCCAAGCGAAATTAGATAATTATTGTACATATTGTCTTTTACTAACATATCTTTCACACATTTAAACACTTTTTTAACTGATTACACATTTCATTAACGCTATAAAGCACGCGAAACGTCGGAAAATTTAAAATTATGTAAAATAATTATTAGTTTATAATAATACATAGCTTAAATCCGTTAAAAAAGTGTTTTCTTTAAATAGAGAATTATGACTAAATAAATTCAAAGCTCTCGTTAAACGTGAATTAATCAATAAAGCTTTTTATAAATTTCAAGGATTAGGATCATTTAAATACACATCAATAAGATAGATTTGCTCCAGTTCAAACAATTTGTATGACTCAAAACTTAGTGATTAAAAAGAGTGGCGGAAAGTTTCTTGCCAGTTCTTCTTGTCCGCTCTACGCCCTTGACTTGCGAACTGGTAGTAAATGTAAATTTAGAATTAATTTAACTTCTTTTCTGATGTTCATAAGTGTACTTGTTTACCTATATGAATAAAGTTATTTTGACTTGACTTGTATACACTTAGCTACGACGTAGAATTATTGCGTAGCTACAAACTAATTAAAATATTATGTTATGTAATAAATCAGGATTAATGAATACTTGTATTACTAAATAGCAGTATCTAAAGCTCACTTACGAGGGAAGGATTAACAATAACTGTTCCGTCAACAAATGGTGCGAAGCCTGGGAGGAATCTTGGAGGATCCAAACGCACAGATAGCAATTCGGTGAGAGGCTTGTTGCGTAGGCAGGGTGCTATATCATCTTCTAAAAGGTCTCCATAGCAACCGGTGTGCTGTGTCACCTAGGACGTGAAATATCAACATTAATTGTGTATATGGTTGGCAAATTCTTGATTACATTACAATATTGGAAAGATGATGATCGCTTGAATCTTTAGACGTATTTAGTGGAATTTACAAGAGGTGGTTAATTAATATTGATAATGCGATATATTCTCCTTGGAAATACAATAAATAAATACGCGTAAGCATAACCAACATAAAATAATAAACAATCAATTATCTTTTAAACACAAACGTGTTCTTAAAAATGGATGAAATTGACGTTCGCGTGGTAATGAAACAAATCAGCTTGATTTTTTTTACTACGGAGCTGGTAAGTCAGAGAGTAACATAAGGGGTTCACGCTCTTCTATATTCTACGGTTGCACTTTAGTGCGCTGAGTTCAAGCGAGAAATAACTTCCAGTAAAGACGAACGCCGATCTATGCACGGGATCCTACATCGGTAGTGACTGAACAAATGATCAAAATAATTGAAAACATTATCTCTGACTGTTTCTTCAATATAAGAAGAAATGAAGACTTCATTAAGACGTGTCCATACACAACCACTTGGGTATTAAAAACGTGTCGGCGGTCTGGGTGCCCAGAATGTTTTCTGACTTGCAGAAAAAAAGTAAGATTTTTTTTTTTTTTACAACAAGATTTTGACCGATTTTTGGCTCGATAACTATGGGCAAAAAATAGCTTCACCATTATGACTCGAAAATGAAAACTCAGTACATGACTTTGACCATTATCTCCAAATCTAAAGAATTTAAGGCGATTCCATTCGCCGGTAAGATCGTGAACCGGTTTTTGTGGAATCCAAGGAGTGGTATTAATCGATTACTTTAATCATGGAGCTACTATTATAGGGAGTTTACGCATGACAAATAAGAAAGTTGCGGAAGGAAATATGCCAGCTACGCACTTGCAAACTAGCTAAAGTTGTACACACAAGTCCAGATTGATGTAACACCTCTAGATTCACCGTACGTAGATGTAGGATTTCTACCAATTTCCGCGGTTAAAGGAAAATCTCAAGAGACATAAATTTGAAGATGATGACGTATTAGTCGCCGTGATACAAGGCTTTTAAATGGATGAGGAGGAAGAAAATTTGTTTAAATAAGGAATTGTTTACCTTTAGAAAAAAAATATACAAAATGTATAAACCTGAAAGGTGACTACGTCGAAAAATAAAATAACGTTTAATAAAAGATAATTGATTCATACTCATTATCACTTTTATTGAACACCACTATATCAACTTTATATTAAAGCTAACATAATCAAGTACCTAAATCGAACTATCTTAATATTCTAAATGCATACAGATTAAGTTAGTAGAAAAATATAGCTTCGAACCTTTCGTTTTATTGACAGAGGATCCCTTTGCAGTGCCCATGAACTGAGTCCGGATCCGCTTAACAAAATGACACGCCTCAGCAACTCTGAAACGAATGAATGTATTTAGTTTTGTTATTTACGAAATGGATTATGTAAATAGGCCATCCATATTATTTGTGAGAGCCATATTTAAAATACGGCAATGTGAAGTGGGGCGTAAATAAATCTTAACTGTTATTGTCATTGATATCTTTCGGTGCATACTATATTTTTGCTGACCGGCGCGTACAAAAACAATTCAGCTTCATAGGTGTATTCTTGCCAATACTTATGGGTTATTTTTAATAGGCATATTATTAATACAACATCCATTCACTTGTTATATAGTAGTATTATTTGATTTTAAGTTTTTTAATAAATATTAAATAATACAGAATCTTTATAATTATTGGAATTTATTTAATCTTAGTTTGTGAGTAGTCAAGCAAATAAACTTGTAAATTATTATTTTAATTATTACAAAACATAGTATTTATTATGCGTCGAATTAAGTGTAAAAAACTTTTTTTCGGTTAATTCAAGTAATGAAATCCAGAAATATATGTATCATAGTGTAAATAGTACCCTAGATAACGGAAAGTCTCGGCCTGATTACAAACAATGAGTCCCATGCGTCATTCATAATCACAGACTCAACAACGATCCAATGTTTACCATAACCGCAATTTATATTTTTTATAGCAATGGACAGGATAAAGGAAATGACGATAATTATAACCCCAACATTCATTGTTTTGGGGACGTTTGTGTAAATAAACCTAAATAATTTTTTATCGTATTATTAAAGAGAATTTTCGTTTGCTTTTTAAACAAAAACAATACAGTATTCACGTAAAATTTTCATGATTCTTTGTGATATGTCAAAAACGAGCCCAGCACTAGACAAATGGCAATTGCTCAATATCAATTCCATTTCTATCTATGAAACTATAAACTCTACACAAACGTGTTCGCTTCATACAGATGATGACAAGCCCAAATGTTTTTGAGCCTCTCATCTAAAATTTAACTGCACTAGAACGTGTTTATTCATGTAAATCGATTTGAGTATATCGTGAGATCCTTTTTTGTGGTCTAGCATGTATTCTAATATTTCATTATTAGACAATCATTAGAATGAAATATACTGCTGAATCAAATGTATTTATACGTTTAAAATTGAGTGTAAATTTTTTTTGAATATATTACACTTTCGTGCACTTTATTTTTAGGACTTTGAGTCATAACTGTAAGATTTGTAGTAAAGCCGTTGCACACCAGAGATAGTTAGAATCGATGTACCGCTTATCATTTGTAATGTTATGTGTTAATAAATAAAAGTAATGCATTTGATTAACTGTTAACAATTATTTCTTTATGTGATTTCGTATTCCGCAGATCCTGACTGAATATTACTGTGTTCATTAACAATACCTCTAGATACAGGTGATACGGCTAAGAAGTTAGCTAATGCGGCACCAGTACCATGTCCCATCAGAGTCACCTTTTCAGGATCACCCCCGAAAGCGGGAAGATTTTCACGTAACCAATGCAGTCCGGCAACCAAATCCATTAGGCCAAAGTTACCCTGCGCTGACCCTTTAGCACCAGTTTTTAAAAAACCTGTGAAATTATTGTAACAAATATTAAAGTACAAGACAGCTATTGTATATTTATCCTTGTCCCTCCAGCGTCACTTTAAAGATTACAAGATTATTTAACTAAGTTATGTTTGTAATAATTTGTATGAAACTGAATTAAAAGTTAAAGACTTATATATTTTTCCGGAGATTTTGTTTACATATACAAGTTTTCCAAAGTCTAGTTTTTTTAATGTAGACATTTTAAATATTTTTTATTGTACGACGTGTGTTTAAGTTAACACATCATCAGTTCATAATAACAATAAACTATTCTAATAGCTTCCTTCTAACCTTTCAACGTTTGTAAATTTGATTAAATATAATATACAACATAACTTACCCAAAACACCTAATCTAAAGTTGATAGTAACTACAATGATGTTGCCATGTGCGGCTAAAGTTGTTCCGTCGTACGCATTGCCCGAACTCCATTCATAAGACTCCCCGTGTACGAACAAAAGACATGGCAATCTTGCTTTCTCAGACTCCATCTCTGCACCTGTAGAATAAGTTAAAAAGGCAACTTCAACTTATATTAAAGGAGAAACTTATTACAAAACGTCTTGGTCACTAATTCGTACAAAGGAACGTTGTACAAAGGAATTTCTTCCGTCATAGCGAAACACATCTAGGCTAACATAAATGTTTACAATAAACTCATCATTATAATGAAACAATAATTTTGAATTGTCTATAAATAAATACAGTTATCGCAAAACTTCCGATCAGAACATGAGGCGTACTGTTGCGTAGAATTTAAACCTGTATCGTACCAAATATATTGCTCTCAACTGTACCGCCGCGAGTCGCTATAATGCAACTTCAACTCGGACTAGAAGTTTTGCGATTACTATATATTTGTGCGCACAAGTCTACACTCTACTCTATCGATGGCCCGCTTGTCCGACATAACTTTATTTTATTACATAAGAGTTTAATATACAAGGACCTCTTATTCTAGGCTAAGGGGATACATGGTTTCAGAGTAATATAACATCATTCACATTTTAAAGCTCACTACGTAACATACTGAGGAGGCTCCAGTTCAAACAATTTGTATGACAATACTTGGCCATTAAAAAGAGTGGCGGAAAGTTTCTTGCCAGTCCTCTTACCCACTCTACGCCCTTGACTTGCGAACTGGTAGTTAATGTAAATTTACAATTAATTTAACTTCTTTCTGACAATTCATAAGTGTACTTGTTAATAAAGATATTTTGAGTTTGAGTTTGAGGATCGGTGAGGACTCCTCCTCAGTAAGGCGCAGTAAGTAAACAGTCGGTCTTGGGTTCGATTTCCCTCAAAACAATTATTGTGTCACGTTTGCTAGAACAATTTGTGAGTAACGAAATGGTGTTGTTATCTTACAATTTTATGATTTATAAAAACAATAATTTATTAGCTATATGATATATGAACCCTAAGGATGTTGTGCAGTAGTGCAGTTATAAAGTAGTTTAAGAAACCGCTATAAATTGTCCTGGGAATCTTGAATCGCTGCTTTAGAGTGTCTTAACCTCACTTCCGCACTGCTTGCAGGGGGCAAGATGCACTGCAATGCACTACGGAATTGAGGTCTTGACACCCTTCGTCGCCCTTCCACTCTATATAATTATATTGGCCGCCGTCTCCCTTAAGCTGTTAACAAACTAATTAATCTTCAACAAAATCTGCAAACGAATTTACCTTAATAGCATAATATTAAATCAAAAACGTGTGTATACTTATGTACACGCTTTAGAAGTAATACTTCTTTGGCTTAACAAGACAAAATTTTTATCTTTCGCCTTATTCTACGTTTGTAGAAAAAAACACTAACAATAGAAAAAATTTACTCTCATCATTTTTCCCTAACGCGCCAAAAGAAGTATAACTTCAAAAAAACTAAAAAGTTGACTATGGCTAACGGGTGTCAGTTTTTTGTGACGGTGTGCGTGCGCATCGTAAACATTTACTCTCGTCATTTTTCCCTAACGCGCCAAAAGAAGTATAACTTCAAAAACTAAATAAATTGACATAAGATACATGATCATTTGTGGTCCAGGATCAGCTTTCGTGTCCTAGGCGTTCACAGTGGTCTAAGCAAAAAAGACAAGAAACTGCATCTTACTATCGTCACATTTGCTTTTAGACTACAGACAAAAGCAATAAAATTTTAACGATATTTAATACGCCAAACAACTTTTAAGCAATGAGTATTGTAACATCGGTTTATTTAAAAACGTTAAGATTTACACATTTAATAGTTCAACACAGACAAATTCACAAAACCTTAAAATTAAATTAGTCTTTTGCGAACTTCAAATGTTGAAAGTCAAAATTTACTTGGTAAATAAACACAGCAAATGAATTCCTAAAATGTTATTACATGCAAGCATAGCGATGCATATTTAAATAGCACCTTATTTAACGGACACTGAATTAGCGGCGAATGATGTGAATAAATTATGATTAAACTGGCAAGGATTAACGAGTGTCCCGAGACTATCTCACCTGTCTCTTATTATATAATTTTTTGATATCAAAATGATAATTCCCTTTGAATGTACATGAATGAACGTGCCATATATCAAGTTTTATGCTTACATCTACTGCAGGTAATTGAAATGTACATCGCGTTTTTATTTTTTTACAGTATTTAATTTAAGAACAATATTATAGAAAATAGTTAAAAAATGTCTATGTATATTTTATAAAATTAAAATATAATTTAATTATATTAAAATTAACTGCCATTTGTTAATGGTGTAGAACGGAAGAAAACTGGATATAAACTCTGCGTCACTGTTTTACAAAATGTTTCTTAAGCTTTTAAACATATTATATAAATCATATATTGCTATTCAAAATGTGATTCAATATTCCTCTATTTCTTAAAATATTGGCCAATTATTAATGAATTGGTTAACGTACCAGTTACGGGCACATACAGGTTGACATAAAGGCAATCTTCACTCTGGTTAGTAAGCATGGGCAGCAGTCTCTCAAGCTGCTTAATTCGAGCGCGCGGGTGGGTGAGCAAGGCGTCGTCCAGTGGGGCGGCGGGGGGTGGACGCTGCGGGCAGGCGGGACCCGCGGCGTCTGCCAGTCGTGGAGTACGCCACTGAGACGGCGTCACCGGCGGCATGTATCTTTCGAAAAGAGTATTGTAGAGTAGTTGTCTAAGACTGTAGGTTATGATTAAGTACAACAAGTTTCGAGACTTATATTATGTTGTGACTACAAATGTGCCAACTGTTACAGTTTTTAGTTTTAGGTTGTTGCTACACGTAATAAGAAAATGTAATTTACCTAAGGCTACCGAGGGGTGGTGTGGCATACGGCACTCCCAAGTAAGCTTCGACTTGCGGGTGTGCGTGGACCACGATGCCCCGTAGGGGTCCGTATTTGGTGCGAACGACGCGCGTGCTGTACTTGTGCGTGGAGAGCGCGACGGCACAGCAGACGAGCCACGCGTAGAGCGCGGCGCGGTCCGCGCGCATCACGCGCTGCAGGCGCGCGCGGGCGTCGCGCCGCCCCGCATCACGCGGCGTCGCGTCCCGCCCAGTGAGCCCCACATCGCCCTTTCATCTTGACACTAAACTCTTCTTGCGTGCTCGCGCCCACTAAGCATACATACAGTTAACGTATAGCATGCCTATGCTATTACATAATATATATTTTACTTCTCGTTAAAAATAAAAATGGTTGCTGAATTATTAACTAACTTTAACTATGTATAAATATAATGTTAACTTTATGTAATAAACGATTATTTAACAAAATAATAAATACCAAAATTGAACAATTTTTCTTATACGAGTAGCTACAAAATTACGCTACTTAGTAAAATAATTAAAAAACGACAGATAAATAACAATTGCCTACTACTTACCCAAGTCATGCTGTCCACTTAACATAAAGAAGTGGTATTTTGAAGTCAGTCATTGGAAAATCTGAAACAATATAATCCCGTGATAAATATTAAAAGCTACCAAACATCGATTCTGAATCACACTTAATTCATTAAACAGCTGTAGATGTTGCGGACAACGGTGTAGAGTGTAGGCAGTTGATGTTTATCTTAACAAACCTAACTCGCTGTTCGTAAAATTTAATGGAACACAAACACGACAAAACGAAGCTATTTTAAACGAAATTTACCAGTGGCAATGCTTGCTAAATATGCGTGATTCGACGCAATAGCCTCTAAATTTAAAATCTGTTTCGTCTGTTTGTAAAATAAAGACAGAATTTTATAAAATGTTGTGTACTAAGCATGAATCACATTATTGAATTTTTTTGTACTTTGTATATTTATTACTCTCAACACGCTGTCCTAAAAGGCTTTGGGGGTTTGGAGGACAGTGCGGTTTCGCTATTGTTTTGTTTTACGGCAATCGGTAAGGTTTAAAAAACATATATTTTTACGCTTTATAAAAATAATAATGTTAATATGAGAGCTTTTCACTATTCTCCATATTGAAATATTATTTAATTCTGAATATTTTTTAATATTCTACGAAGACAATTAATAAATAATATAGCGTGATAACATCTTTGTTAACTGATATATTAAATAATTGTTATACATTGATATTTCGTGGGTTTCGCGATGGGTACGCGTAAGCAATAAATAAATAAACGGTATCAGGGTAACTCAATCAATTAAATATTTAATTAATCTGTAAATTATCCACGTCAATTCTATGTGAGCACACACAACACAGTCGACTTGAGACGACTAAGTTAATACCATGGAGTAGGCAACATATAACTGTTTTGTCAATGAATTTTACTTAGTAGATCGTCATTATTTAGATTTTCGCTCTAAAATTTAAAAGAAACTGGCCATATCACAAAACTTCGACTTGATCTTGTAAGGTATATGTTACCATGGTTTATTCTCATTATGTGAAAGTGAAATTAGCATCGTAACCACGGTAGCAAACACAGTAGTTTAAAACACGTCTTATATATTGTGTTATTTTGAATGTGATTATTGATTGTTTTGAATCGAATATTATTCTATACACTATGCGCACTAAAGCATGCGGTCGGATTACTATAATAAGACACACTTATTTAAAAGTTTTTTTTTGATATATTTTTATACCATGCGTATTAACAGACAACTTAACAGTTTTAGTTCTTTTTTTATTTACGCATATGTAAAATGAGATTATTAAATGTAGTATGCGAAAAATAAGTTGTCTAAAGCAGTCGAAACAGAACCCATAGATTATTTACTTACAAAAATATAGCATCACCAGTTCTGCCCGTCACTGCAGTGATTGATGTTGACGTCTTTTTACAAAACGCTTGGGTAACCAAATAAGCTTGTAAATACGTACAATGACTCTTCATGTCAAAAAAGAGAAAACTCTTTTAGAATATAAGCCCCTTTCATTCTCATTCTTGATACAAATATAAAACTGTAAAACACAATCTCAAAAGGTCAAAGAATCAAATCTTTTCCGATTTTATTTTCCTGTTTCTGATGTAAACGTTAAGCTTATTGTATCTTACATCAAACGATGAAAATAAAGTATCAGAAACGACTTATTTTTGCGAGAATATTTATTAATATGTCCGATTCATGTATTGACAATTTATTTCAATTGTTTTTGTAAACATACATTATAATGAAGAGCTAAAGAGAAAGAATCACGAGGGGCTGTGTTTATAGAGATTGTTGTAAAAAGTAAAAAAATATCCAATAAGAATCATATAATGCAATATAACGAAACACGATTTTTACGTCTCCTTAGAGCAGCAATTAAACGAGTACAATAAAGATTTTTGGTAAGGACATAGCAATACCAATAATATATTTCAGTGCCATAGAATCTCAAACCTATTTGCTCAGTTTTTTTATAATATACTGTAATAATTGTTTATTTTATCATAGGTCGTCACTGTAAAAATCTCTATTCATAAACCTACACCTGGGGATCAAGTCTGCTTATTAGCAGTTGTAGTAGCTTACTTTTTAATTGTCTTAGTGTTAACTAACCACTGATTTATCACCAACACGTCATTTTTGTAAAATCGGTTGTCTGCTAAATTCAATTGGGAATTATATATATATAAATTCTTTTTTTTAATTTATTTCATAACCATGAATCCTTCAGTCGAAATCATAGTAATTATGTAACTTTAATACTATGTTGCCATGTCTGCAATGTTAAAGTAAAATTACACTTAATTATGTATCGTTAAATGTTATTAACACTTTAAAAATATGCAGCTGAACTTAAAAAGACATCGTTTTACGGGCAAAGGACACTATTTAATAACATTGATGATTGACTTAATGTCAATTGTCAGATATCTATTAGCAATAGTGTGTAGACTAAACTAAGATTAAAATTGAATCGATTATCTACTAATAATATTAATGTCAAGTCAAATTTATGATATCAATCAGATGATATCGCTTTTATTTATTTTTTTAATCATAAATAGTTTTTTTTATCTGTTGTTCTTAAAACAATAGCAATAATGTTAAGTTATATGGTTGGTGGACTCAGTTTCCGCACTTAGACTTATAATCGGTCCTAATAATATCGGATCTAATCGGACTAATAACGTTAAGTTATAAAGTTTCAGGGAAGGTAAGGCATAGTAAATGCTTCTTTGTACGGACGCGATGTCGACATTCATAGGGACCTAAATATAGAAAGCATCTGATAAAGAATTAAAAAAAACATGCCAAAGCCTTCATACTTATCAGAGGCACGGATATTAGCACGTATTTGGAACTTATTATACGTATATATAGATGCCATGGGCCTAGTGTGTAGACATAAAAGGGCCTTTTGAGCAAGTGTTGGGTAAATTAAAGTTAATATTTTCCTATTCTTAAGTGCTAGTAAACAGTGTTATTTACGTGTTTTTGTTTAATAGTCCAATATGCAGTAGCAGATTTGGCTTTAACACGCTGATTTCTGTTTATCCATGAACAACCAAGATTGGATTCTACAGTGCACGAAGGCGAAACCGAGTTCAGGAGCTTATTTAATGACATAAGCGTTGATATTTCTGATAAGTTAACGACGATTTTCGGGCAACATGTTAATCTTGAACGTGAGCTCTGAGCGTCGTATCTCCCCGAAGATAACATATACCGATTACTCAGTCACCGGTTCTGCGAGCGTCAGTGATCGATGGCATAAAACGTTCAATCTCATCTCGATTCAATTTTCTATTTTACGATTTCTGTATGTATATATTGTTTATTTATAATGCATATAGATAACGTTAGGCATTATGTTAAGAAAATATTTTAACTTATTGAAAAACAAGTAACCCCGCCCCATCTGTGTTATTACTAGATATTTGTAATCTAACTCAATAAAACTAATCAAAAGTTCTTGTCTGATATTTGAAAAGTATTTTTGTTCTTTAATTGTAAGTCTCACTAGAGATCTAAATATTGTCTATTTCGACGTAAGAGACTCTTTATTAATTACCTTTAAGCGTAGTTATTTTAAATTATTTTTTTCACTGTTTTTCTTTATTTATAACTCAAACTCTAAATATCTTTATTCATATAGGTAAACAAGAACACTTATGAATCGTCAAAAGAATAAATTATAATAGTTTATAATTGTCAAATATCGTAACTGGCCAGTATGACAAGTTGCCTTGTTGATGTGAACAATAATGTTATTTCAAAAATTTTACCATTAATCATTGATATACAAAAACCCAAGATGCACAATCAACGTCTAAAAAACGTCCTCAAAAAATGAGCGCAACATTCTTCATTGTGCGCTCATTTCAAATAGTCTCGCGTCTATAAGTGGAGTCGATGTTTTTTATTTGTGTTTTTTTTATAAATAAATTTATGTACTCTTGAACTTTTTTGTGTGTAGTTTTTGACAAATATATTTACGCTATATAAAGTGTGGGTCAGGAGGTAGCCAATTTAACATTTTTTTTTAATTTAAAGAAAAAACTTTTTAACCGGATTAATGTTATGTATTATTATAAATTTACAACTATTTAACATCCAACACCTTTTGTCTTCAGTCACCGTGACCACTCACGCTGTAAAGCACCCGAAAAGTCGGATAAATTTAAAATTATGTTAAATAGTTGTAAATAAAAAAGTCATGTTCGACTCCACTCAATACCTTGTCCTACCGACCACGGTCGGTCGTAAAATTTTATTGCTTTAAGTACGTATACACTGCGTTGTAATAACAACTTTAAGCAATTCGCGTAAGGTTGATTTTGCAATAATATATGATTGTAACATATACTGTTATGGACAGAAATAGTGTTTCGGGACATTTTCGAGCGTTACTTTTATTCGAGACTGTGCATCTTGGGTTTTTTGTATATCAATGCCATTAATACAATTAATTATAGAATTTTAAAAGCAGTGTTGTCCTATTGGCTTCGGCATGCGACTGACAACCCTGAATCCGTAGGTACGATCCTTGGCCGTGCACCATGGACACTCGCTCATACGGTAAAGGAAAACATCGTGACC